CTGCGGTGAGCAGATAATTTCCCGTTTTGGGTCGGTCGAATGGCCACCAAGATCGTGGAATATCGCACCGTTTCACTTTTTCCTGTGGGGATATGTCGAAAGTATATGTGGATATTCGATTCAAGTTTTGGGGCAAAACATCACGCGCTTCATTCGCCAGTTACCAGTCAAAATATTCGACCAAGTCAAAATGTACTCAATCCACACCATCTGAGTTAACATTTGAAAGAGATAATCTTCAAAAAAAAATTCTCTTAAGAAAAGTAGGGAACTTTGTAATGGATCACCCTTTAAATAAATTTTGCTGAACTTTATACGTGTATTTATTATAATGTGCCCAGGAAATATTTTTTATTGGATTTTCAGATTTTGTCAAGATGTCGTTGCAGTCGAATATCTCTCCGGTGTTACCAGTGACATTGCGTCATACCATTTGGTGTTAGAAAGGTTAAATTTTAAGCTTCATTTAACAAAAAAAAAAAAAAAAAAAGTTACAGTTGTTCAAAAATTAGTAAAAATTATTAAGAAATTCTCTATTTTWTGAAATTTTTATATAAAAAGTGAAAGGATGTCAGGCCAGCCACCAATGGTATTTGTGAAGTTTAAAGACACGATTTCAATTCAGTTCATGTAGCACAACAATGGTTCGCTCGCTTCTGTTTTGGAAATTCCTAATTTTCGGTCGTTTGCTTTTTTATTCCAGCTATTCAAAAGAAAAATTATTGAAAATTATTCAGTGAAAACTGCGAACAAAAATTCCATTGTCGAAGATTGTATTCGCTAAGAATTGGAAATGAGCAAATTCCGATCATTTTGACAATGAAGACGAAGGCATGAGTTATCTAGTGGAATTTCTAAATTCTTTGGAGAGGCTTGGTATGCCGCCACATCATTTACGTCTCAAAGTTGAATCTGTCGTTATTATGTTTCGYAATTTTCRTGSGCCGAAACTATGTAATGGAACCCAACTGATTGTGACGCAGCTATCGCATACCAGGGGGCCGAATTCTTGATTCTACAAATTCCTTTGAGTTGCCACTTCAGTTCAAACCTATACAGTTTCCAGACAAAACTGCATTTGAAATGACAATCAACAGGACACAAGGATAGTCGCTAGAAGTGTGTGGCATAAATCTATAAATGTCATGCTTTTGACACGGCCTGCTATACGTGGCGTATTCATGAGTTCGAAACCCATCTTCTCTATACATTTACGTACCGGAACTGAAATCAAAAAATTTTATTTATCAAGCTGCGCTACATTGAAATAAAAAAACTAGAAAAATCACAAATAATGATTTAAACAAAAAATATAGTTTATTAAACTTGTTTTCATTTCAAAACACATAATTTCACGCAGGACAATGCCTGCGGGACCCGCTAGTTATAAATATAAAAAAATAAATTGAGGTTTGTTTAGAAATACGCATCTTGATAATTGCTTTAATCAGATACAGATGAGATACTTGCATGCTAAATTTATGTTTGGAAATTAGTCATCATCCGCCGAGCATCAACCGATGTATTTTTTCGTTGCAAGCTAAGTATGATAGAACCCGCATTTCTGCAATTCCCCAAARGTAAATGGAGTCCGGTTTGAGGTTAGACATTCTCTGTTAGTAAAATAATTCTTCTAGGACGTTATCAGAAAATATGTTGTTCCGTTGTATTGTGCTCAAAACAGCGGGCATGTCACTATTGTCATTGCGACATTAATTCTCAAAATGCAGTTTGACGTTTTATAATTGAGCATAAATGTCACTTTTTGCTATGTCAGCGAATTTCGGTTAAAACGTAGAAAACACAAAACTCACGTAGGAACATATTTCATTTACGATACGTTTGTGCCATACCTCGTGTACACCTAAGCACGAAGCTGCGTATAAGAGTACATAGAAAGCGAGATGTCTGCGTAGTGTAGCGACAGTTTGAGTGACAGGACACATGCTTGCATCCTGACTGTATGTGATGGCTTTCTTGCCACCAAATCAAAGCGTAATTGGATTTGTGCCTTCACTCAATATTTCAAAATAGTACAAAATAAAAATAAAAAGCCACTGCATTAGATGCATTCCAATTATTTACGATTTAGATTTAAATTCAATGAGCTGTTAAATGCGATCTAGGTCAAAACAAATTTATTCGCATGGTATGCTAAAACCACAATTATAGTTAAATATGTATATACTACATATTTTTCTATATACATATGTATGTATGTATATATAAATAGATCCAAAGTATGTAAGAAAATGCTATCCCTCTTCTCTTCTTCTCTTTTAATAGCTATCCTGGTTTTAGTAAGTATTTATATAGATACGTGCGATGTATAAAGTATAAGGTTTTTCAAGAAATCGAAGCAGACGCTGAACCCAATTTTGGACAGGTTTCACCAGACTTTGTTTCAATAACTCAATTGTGAAATTCGCTGTGTGGCTTGTGGCGTCGTCTTGTTGGAATCAAAGATTGTCCAACTCCATATCATCAGATTCGAGCCAAAATATTCGGTTATCATTGAGCGGTGGCGATTTTCATTCACAGTAACGTGCCGTGTTGATCACGGACCAATGACTCACGAAGACTCCTGTCTGATCAATAACGCATATTTCGCTTACTGACGAAGCCATTCAGTCAGAAATGAGCCTCATCGCCAGATATAAAAATCCGGACCAAGTTGTTTTTCAGCCCAAAACGATTCAAGCGGCTTCAGTTCTTGCGTGAATTTAATCTTGTAATGATGAAGGTGAAGACCTATTAGTAATTTCGCCACAGCGACTCTCTATGATGAGATACCCAACGCTTGAGAACGACGTGTGTGAGACTGATTTGGGTCTTCCTCAATCGACGCTACTGTCACTATTTTGCCTCACTGACAACATTTTTTGCCGTGTCATTGGATTAAAAATTTTCCACTAGACACTTATTTGATGATCTGACAGAACGATTATGACTGTCTCTTATACACATCTAGATGTGTATAAGAGACAGCACGAAGACTCCTGTCTGATCAATAACGCATATTTCGCTTACTGACGAAGCCATTCAGTCAGAAATGAGCCTCATCGCCAGATATAAAAATCCGGACCAAGTTGTTTTTCAGCCCAAAACGATTCAAGCGGCTTCAGTTCTTGCGTGAATTTAATCTTGTAATGATGAAGGTGAAGACCTATTAGTAATTTCGCCACAGCGACTCTCTATGATGAGATACCCAACGCTTGAGAACGACGTGTGTGAGACTGATTTGGGTCTTCCCCAATCGACATTACTGGCACTGTTTTGCCTCACTGACACGGGAACATATTTTGCCGTGTCATTGGATTAAAAATTTTCCACTAGACACTTATTTAATGATCTGACAGAACGATTATGATGACCATAAATTGGACGTAGCGCTCCTAAAGTTGAGTCCACTGACTCCGAATTTCGGTAATAAATGTTCTTTCTTTCCATGATAAAATGTCAAACCTTCCTGAAAAGAAATGGTAAAAGAACGGGGATAAATATGGGGATTTGCTGTYCCTATCGATCTACTCGATGATCTTTTCTTTTGTGATCTGAGAACAGGCAGTAGTCGCAGAGTACCAGATCTAGAGAATACGATGAATGCGGAAGCAACATGAAGCAAAATTCATGGATTTTTGCCATCGTTTTCATTGATTTGGTGAAACAGCACTTTCTTTTGCTATTAACGCTACATAAAAGTCGCTGTTGATGGTTCTTTCTTTTTGAAGGTAGTCAATAAAAATTATTCAATGTGCCTCCCAAAATACAGAGGTTGCATTTTTCCATGATTGGGCTCTGATTTTCGTGTGCAATCCACTCGGATGAATGTCGATTGGGAATCGGAATGAAAACCTTGTCATTTCACATATCAAATGTCACATATAGACGCAAAAACTCGAATATATTCCTCTTGAACATCTCCAAGCGCTTCTATGCATCGTCAAATCGACGAAATCATGGCACCCACCTTGTATACTCAAAGTGACACAGATCATTCTCATTCTCAAATATTCGTGAATGATATCTAATTTTATTTTCTGAAAACTCTTTTGATATTCTCGTCCGCAAAAAGCTGGACGTCCACTGCCTACACCGTCTTCGGTGCCCATTTCACCACTTGTTGGTTTTGATTTTCCCGGCGCAGTGTCCCGAAACTCGTCATCAAGCTAAGTTTTTGCTTCAACTACATTTTTTACCTGCAAAAAAACAATATTTTAACAACACAAACTCAGATTAAACCTACGYATATACAAAATCATAATCCCTATAATCACAGCTGATTCACTAAAAAGCTGGGTTAAATCAGCACAATCACGCTTGGCGTGACACAGATTTTCCTAATTCGCAGCGAATACAATAGATAAAATTATATCCCTCAGGTAGTAATAAAAACAAGTAGYAAAAAGTGACTTGGATTGTAGCGCAACAAAAAGTACAATGTGCCCTGCAATCTCATCTTAAAACAGTGCGCAGCTTTCAACGCATCAAAAAAGGTGTTTCAAATTACGGGGCATTGTTGTAATTGTAGCAATAGCATAAAATTTACTTAATTACCATGGGGAACGCTTGAAGTGACCTTAAGGGAGTGCTGGCAGCCAGTCGCTGCTTATGGCGCTGGTGAATGAAGCGAAGCGAAGCATAAAGCGGGTTAAATTTTGCATAATTTCAGGCGCTCAAGCGCATAAGTAATGCACAAATAACGAAAGTATTCCGAAGTGCTGGAATACTTGCAGCGCGGTATGCGGCGGCGGGTTGCTACCGTATCTGTTGTAATTTGAAATGTAAACGCCTGGTCTACTGCGTACAAAGTCGAGCTATTGTTTAAGTTAAATGATTGCATAAGTTAAGGAGATACGAACATTTAAATTTTCAGCAAATTCACTGTGAAATTTACAAATTTGTATTCAGAACAGCGTTTACACGCATTTCTCTGTTTCTACTTTYGCCTGCGATATTTCTTGACTAATTTTTTGCTCTTTTTTCGCTTTCCTTTGCAGTTGCAAGTWTTCGACGCCAACAAGGATGGACGTCTGCAGCTCTCCGAAATGGCCAAGTGAGTAAATATGCATTACTTTGCTATGTTGGAAATGTTTCTATTGTATTCTTGTTGTTGTTTGCATTGTAATTTTGCATTCATTTTGACAAGATGGCGGCAAGTGCAGAAAGTGTGCTGGCTGCGGCTGCTTGTAATGAGATTGCCTTTCAGAGTTAGGCGGCTTTTTACTATTCACTTAAATTTGTAATGAATTTTAGATTTGTTGAGTAAGTAAGTTAACTTTAGTTTAGCATGAAGTCTTGTTCAAAATCAAGTCAAATTTGATACCTTTTCAATTCGGGTCTCAAAGAAATTGGAAATAGCTCTTGTAAAAAAATAAATATTGTTAAATGTTATATTAAAACAATTACCTAAAGCTGCGAACATAATGTTTTGAAGAGTAGAGTAAGGATGAAGTTTGAAAAGAAATATGATGTATTAAATGCATACCTTGACTTGCTTTGTGCTTCACTTCACTACGTGCTCAGCTTAATGCTGAAATCATAATTAGAAAGGGTAACCACTCTGCGGTAGAGGACAAAAAAAAGGACACGCAAACCTTACCACTTAAAATTTTCAAGTATTGCGCATATTTTACTACATTTTATARCGGTGTTTTTGCGGAATACAAATTTTTTATTTAGAAATATGTTAATGGCATGTTATTATATTATTCAAAAATATTAAAAAATTAAAACAAAACACATTCAGCTATAAATAAATCAGTTGAAAGATAGTGAGTTTTACAAAATGAGCTGGAAATGTAAGAGACTGATATGCGATGAAAAAATTATATATTTTATTTTTTTACTTTAATTTCATTTACACTATAATTTAAATTAATATCTTATTTTATATATTTTTTTTATTGAGGCACGAATTTTAGTCGGTGTATCACTTTAAAAACAGTAAAATCGGCCGCTTTTGTATAAGCACAGAAAAGCTTATTTGTGTTTTACTCATTAAACGTAATAAATTAAAAACTATAATTATAATTAGTTAATAAAATTTAGTCTAATTGTGCTTACTAAAAATATAAAAAACCTAAATTGAAGAAAATCCCGAATGAACGAAAAAGTCGAAATTGATGTAAGCTTTGCGTGGCCAAGGGTGTAGCGTCAACACAACAATATAAACACCCCGATTTGCAAATTTAAGCTTTAGAGAAGCGCAGTAAAGCATAATATTCTTTAAAAAATCAAAATTTTCGTGTTTTTTTATGATCTTTACACAACTTAAAGATAATTATATTTTTTTTATTTAGTTGATAATTTGAAATTAATGAAATATTCGAGTATTAATGACACTTTGCTGACATGTCTTATGTTTTATTATCTATTAAGCTCTTGCTCAACTATAAAGTATTTATAGAGAAAGAATGTGCCAGTTTTTAAAATATTGGTGTCGAGTCTCCCAAAATGTTTTTTTATCCTCTTGCAACGTGTTGCTACAGAATAYAATAAATTTGTTCAACTAACGGTTGTACGTATCACCTAAAACTATTAGAGATAAATGTAGCGTTATATATACATATAAGTAAATGATCAAGAAGGCGAGACGTTGTGTAATTTATCTGAGTGCCTGTCAGTTTCTCCGCCTGTGCACGCTGTAACTTGAGCATAAATTAGGATATTTTCGTTATGAAACGTGTTTCTTGGCACAATAAAAACTCCAYAAAACATCATTATTCGAAAAAGTATAAAGTGACATAACTAAGCCCTAAATTAAGATAAAGAATGAAATGTTGCATAACGAATCACAATAAGGTGGGGCAGGTAAGGAAGAAAATCTTCGAAAAAAATCAATAAATCTATATCACCCAAATTTACACAGAACAAAATTTTTAACCGTTCATTAGTTATCATAAATAGTGTAAAAATTGGCGAAATTGATGACGTTTTTTAAAAACCCCTAGGTACCGAATAAGTGGATCCCAGCGCCTTACTAACTTTTTACCGAAAATATCGGCCAGAGTGTGAGATATATAATTGAAATTTGGAGGGAATTCTTTCTCCATAATAGTACCAGGGAGCCAAAAATAGGTTGTATTTGGTATGCCCAATATAAAGATTGTCGAAGCTTTGGGTGATTTTACACCGCGTATCTCGGTAAATATGTCAGTTATATCAACGAAAACAAGTAAG